GGTGATGCATAGTAGATAGGGATATTGTGTAGATCAGGGTGGTTGGCCCAGTACTCATCTAAAATTAGGAGAAGCTCCTGTGCACGGCCGAGAGCAAAAGCTGGGATCAGGACACGACCTCCCTGAGAAACTGTTGAGTGGATTACATCAGTGAAGCGTTTCTCGCGGATGTGACGTGACTGATGAAGCTGGACACCGGAAGTGGATTCAATGATGCATATGTCAGGGGAGAATTGAGGAAGCTCAGCTGCTCTTAGATGTCGGTCTTCCTCACGGGAATAGTCGCCTGTGTAGAGAATTCGGACACCAGCTATATCCACCATAAACATGGCTGCACCCAAAACATGGCCTGCCGTGTAGCACCAGAACTTTATGCCGTTCACTTCAACCGTTTGATGGAAATCAATAACCTAGAGAGGAATTAAACATAAACCTTAGCTCATCACTTCTTCAAAACCGATAGAAAACATTTTAAACATAACTCAATGGACTGATCAAAGCGTTAAGGTTAGTTAACCAGATGCTTCGAGAACAAGAATCATATATCTTATCAATGATTTCAACTTGTAAGAAGAGTACAAGAAGCGCACCCTACACACCACACATTCAGAAGGCTAATATGATCCTTTGTAAGCACAATACTTTAGTTCAACTTGTAAGAAGAGTACAAGAAGCGCACACTACACACCACACATTCAGAAGGCTAATGTGATCCTTTCTAGGATTCCAAAATCTTAACTTCAAGCACATTACTTTAGTTCAACTTCTCTAAAAGAGGAAATAGCTACATTGAGTAAAAGCGTAAGTATACAGTTCCTACATCTTGCATACTCTGACAGAAACATTATTTCGAAAGCAACATGATAAGCTAAGCACAAAGCAAGAACAAGTAGTATTAAAAGTTCAGCACACCTCAATTTTATCCATGGATTTGTTGATGTCATGTTCATCGAACAACATGTCTTCCACAGAAACCTTGCTGACTTTAACATAATCAGTAAGTAGCAACTTATAGATAGCCTTTGTGGCATGCGTCATGAAAACTCTCCCTTTGAATGTAGTCTAATAATAAACAGTACCAACCTGTATTAGTCCCAGTTCCAGATGAATATTAAAAGACACTGATAACAAAAAAACACCTTCTCAAGAAAATAAGGTAGGGATGCTGCATGGTCCAAATGAAAGCTACAACAAGAAAGCACCAAGTTTGTTATCTTAAAACTAAGAAACCATCTCACAAGAACATAAGGCCAAATCAACCAATAAAGAAGTGGACATATACTGAGTAATCAAGAGGACATCAATGGTGGAAGGATCAATTTCATCGAAGTAAGGCAAAGCAGCCATTCCAGAGTAGGCAGGATGGATCCCACAATCAAACTGCACACAGCACGAAACCAAAATAAGACATTCCCCCAAACCAAGAAACCAAACACGATATTGAGAGGAGGAACTAACGAGAACGGTTTTGCCTCGGAAGGACATGTAGGCGCAGGAACGGCCCACTTCGTTTCCGGCGCCTAAAGGAGTGACGATAAGCTGATCTCCTTCTCGTGACATTGGTTGCTCTCTTCTTTTCAGAGATATAGACGAAGATGCCATTTTTATCGATTTCGTTCACCTTCCCTTGAGAGAAATCACTCAGAACACACTCTCTGAATCTTTAAACCCTAAAAACTTGACAAAAGAATGTAAAAAAGAAAATAGAATAAGCAACAACAATAGTGGCCGTCGAACCCACGACCTTCTGCTGCGACGCGCTAATCCACAGCTCTATACGGTCGTTAACAATTTAGGGAAATAATAATATCTATAATTAATAAACTATAAAGAAATTTTGATATGAATTAGTATTTTGGAATTGATGTACATTTTTATGTTAATCGTATTATATCGAAACAGATTTTTTTTTGAAAAATTATATAATTTATAAATTAATTTATTTGAGATTTTGTTTGTACATTTTTAATGTAACTTTCTCTAGGTCTTGATATTTTACCCGGATCGAAAAACACGACCGTAACTGACCCGATAATATAGATTTGGTTGGGATCCATGAAAAAAACTTACTGTCTATTTTCAAAAACTGGCAGGAATTGATTCTAGTCTGGATCATACTCGAGACCTGATCGGGTAAATAAAAGTACTCAATTTGTTTTTTTCATATTAGATATGTTTGAATATTTCATATATGTTTTGGTATTATGTATATTCTTTTAATTTACACTTATAATTTTAGGTTTCAGGTAAAGTTTCCATAGAATATATATTTGGGGGTATTTTTTTGTTTTTGGAGTCAGATTACGTGAAATTCAAGATTTTCAGATATTTGAATATATTTTGAGTATTTATCTGTGGTTTGAAGTATTTTTTTGAGATTCGAATATTTTTCAGGTTTATTGGTACTTTTGGTCTTAAATATCTAAACCTACTTAGACCTGCTATATACTTGAAAATTAGAAATTACCACACTGGATATACATACAAATTAGATCATTCACAAAAAAATATTGAAAGTATAAGTTACGATCTTTCACAATTCTAGATATCTTTATAAACAAAAGGCTTAAAAATATTTTCGCTAGAATAAAAAAACATTAATTTTAGAACTTGTTTGTATAAATATCTTCAAACATTATAATATAATAAACCGATTTGTGTATTATTACCATATACTATGTTATAAATAGGTTTACTCTAAAAATAATTAAATTTTGGTTTTAAACATATTGGTCGTGAATGAAAATGTCCAAAACACCAGCTATGAAAACTAATCAATAGAAAGGATGGAGTGTACGGTTGCATAGTTGGTGACTCAAACAAATGATATAGTTTTGTATAATTGGTGAAATCAGTCACGTATTATAAAACTAATGAGATATGTTTACAAAAGAATAATATATTATAAGGTTATAGTAACGTATTATGAAGAAATAAGAATATGGAATAATAAGAGTAATGTATAATAAATAAGAATATTGACTAATATATTGTTAGAGAAATAGAAGGTAAATTATATGATATAATATTATTGCACAATATTGTTGGAGAAATATTAGGAAAGACCAAAAAATTAGTCTAATGAAAAGGTCTAAACAACTTTTCTAGGTAGATTTATTTAAACTCTTTCTCTTTTAATAGTATAGATTTCGTTGATTTTGGATTACAAAATTTGATACAAATAAATAAAATAATAAAATATTAATTTTTAAAAAAAATTATATAAATATATAGTCCCATTAAAATTATAAATTGATATTTTTTAGGGAAATTCCCTAGAATAGAACTAAAACTTTTTTATCACAAATATAAACCTTAAAAATAAAAATGATCAAAATAGACTTAAAAGTTTTATCAAAAAATTAATAAAAATACATTTCTATTATGTGGGTTAACTAATCTTACATTTTTTTTGTTTAGAGTTAAGGAGTGGGGTTTTGAGGGTAGGATTTCAATTTTTGTTTTTAAAAAAAACTTAAAATTTTCAAAATAAAAATAATGTTGTTTTGGTAATTTGATTTTTGAGGTCTATTTTTGTGATAAAACTTAAAAATATCCATTTGAGAGATTTTCCCTAATTTCTATGTATACATATTTCTATGTAATACATATTTCATATAAGTAAGACTTTGTCATTATATTGTTTGTTTACATTTGCAAGGGAATTATTTTTATATTTTCTTAACACTTAATATATTTTTGAGAAGATTTAATAATATTATATCTAAAATCACATTTAAATTCTATGCAATATAACATCAAATATTTTTTATTTTTGAAAATAAATATATCTTAAAATAAAAAATCTAAATAATTTTTTTTATAAATTAGTATCTTTATAAATTAATAAAATTTCAAAGTCTCAACATTATTAATTTATAAAAAATCTAGTGTACATATAAAAGACTCTAAATTCATCATCTAACCAAAACAACCCTCTCTTTCCTCATTTTTTCTCTCTCTCTAACCTCTTACTAAAAAGAAAAATTTGCCAAATATGACTCAAAACTTGGTTTCAAATGTAAAAGTAAACCCAAACATGAATCAAATGCAAAAGTAACCTAAAAGTCTATTGAAGTTACAACCAGCCCCTTGTGAACAAACAAAAAACCCGATTTTTTTTATGTTTCTAACCCCGTAACTATTATATCCAGGCGAGTTTAAATTAAGTCGTAAAAGTCGTCTAGTATAGTTATTCTTTAAAATAATTTAAAAATTTTGTAAAAAAAGATTTAGATAAGTGAAAAAATTGAAATCATGTAATTAACATATGTTTTAAGAGATATAAATTAAGATATAACAAAATTTAATTGTTTTCAACATAGATGAGTGAAAGTAGTGAGTCATGATATTCTTTGGTTTAAGTTTTACCGACATATGTTGTAGTATTGTATGTGTTTCTTAGGGTTAGATTTTCGAAAGCATAAATATTTTTTTGAATTTTTTAAAATTTACCTAAGTATGTTTATTTCTGTGTATAATAAACACTATTTAAATATAATTTGATTTTATAACGTGGTTAGTTACTTAATTTAGTCAATTTAGTTTATGGTTTAGGGTCTGGACGACTTAGTATTAAGTCGTCTGGTAAATATATTTAAGGCAGATGACTTACTAGTAAGTCGTCTGATGTATAGTATCAACAAACGACTTAATAATAAGTCGTCTAAACCGGACTGAACCTTTGATTTTATCAATTTACTTTTAAACTTAACCGGATTTTTTACCGGATATATATAATATATTTTTTTTATTCACTTTTTAGCGAAAATTAGAGAATCCTAAAGCTGTTTCTTTCAAAGGTGATTTCAAAGATGATTTTTCTAGAATCTCTCTAATTCATTGTTCTCAAGGCCTGTTATCTCTCCGCCTTACCACCCTAGTTATCACCACCGTTTTCACTCTTCAATGTCTCTCAAATTGCACAATAAGTAGAAATCCTTACGTTGTTGATATTCGCTTCTTCTTCTTATAACTTCAGCCTCCTCCTCCTCATCGCTATGGTTGATTTAGATAACTTGCTATTGGAAGCTGCTGGTAGAACAAACGCACCTCCTACTAGGGGACGCCATTCTCATCCTTCATCATCATCATCATCCAGGAGACGTGAACGTGAAGAAGGTTCTTCCTCTGACTCAAGGGAAGAAGACTCTGATGACTACCCTGCAACTAGGAAACCTCAAGTTCCTTTAAAGAAGAGTCTGGAAGCAGAGAGACAAGAAGCTCGAGAGGATGATGACAGCAGCAGCAGCAGCGAGTAGGAGTCTGATTTTGGAGATGATCTTTACAAGAACGACGAAGACAGACAGAAGCTTTCAGAGATGACTGAGTTTCAAAGAGAGATGATTCTTACTGAACGTGCTGATAAGAAAGGAGACAAAAGCTTCACTGCGAAGCTTAGGTCCAAGCGACAGAACAACGACAAGACTACCACCACCACCACTCCTGTTTCCAAACCACTTCCTGCAGCATCTCGTGGTGTTCGGTCTTCTGCTAGATCTGCAGACAGATCCGCTGCAAAGGATGATGCTTTGAACGAGTTGAGGGCTAAGCGTATGAAGCACCAGAACCCTACGAAGCTGAGCAGAGATTTCACATCATCGAAATTGAGTAGCTCAAGTGATAGTGATAATAGGTCTCAGAGTGACGATGGAGGTATGGTGGAAAGTGATGACGACAGGTCAGATATGCCTACCTATGAGGATATTAAAGAGATTACTATTAGGAGGTCTAAGCTTGCTAAATGGTTTATTGAACCTTTCTTTGAAGACCTTATCGTTGGTTGCTTTGTCAGAGTTGGGATTGGGAGGTCAAAGGCTGGTCCCATTTATAGACTCTGCATGGTCAAGAATGTGGACGCAGTTGATCCTGACAAGGCCTACAGTCTAGAGAACAAGACTACACACAAGTACCTTAACGTCTTCTGGGGTAATGAATTTTCCGCTGCTCGTTGGCAAATGGCTATGATCTCCGACGGGCATCCTGTGGAGGAAGAGTATAGGCAGTGGATCAGAGAGGTTGAGCGAACTAATGGTCGCGTGCCTTCCAAGCAAGATGTTTCAGAGAAGAAAGAAGCGATCGAAAGAGTCAACAGTTTTGTTTACTCGGCGGAGACTGTTAAGCAGATGTTGGAGGAGAAAAAATCTGCATCCGTCAGGCCAATGAATGTTGCAGCCGAGAAAGATAGGCTTAGGAAAGAGTTGGAGATTGCAGAGAGCAAAAACGATGAAGCAGGTGTAGAGGGATCAAAGGTAAGATCAAGCAGCTTGATGCGTCAAGGAATAAAAAAGGAGTAGATAAAAAGGCGCTCAAACTCTTTGAGATGAACAAGAAGAATAGAGCTGAGAATTGCAAGAACGCTTCCGAGGTGAAATCAATCACTGCTAGTCTCAAGGCTGGTGTAGCTGGGTATGATCCGTTTTCAAGGAGGTGGACACGGTCATCGAACTACTACAATGGTAAAAACAGTGGGAAAGATGGAGGAGAGAATGAGGCAGCTGTTGCAGCAGCGGTTGAGACCAATGGAGGAGGAGAGAACGGTGTGGAAGCGACAGAAGCGGCTGCAGAGGCAGGGAAGCTAATAGACACTAGAGCTCCAATAGGTCAAGGAGTGGAACACAATCTGATGCATAGTTTTGAATTGTCTTTATCGCTAACTGCGTTGCAGAAGTATGGAGGGCCTCAAGGATTACAGAAAGCGTTCATGGCGAGGAAACATGTGACAGAAGTAACAGTGGGATGCAGAGTTGTTGAGAATGATGGTAAGAGACATGGACTTACGTTAACTGTTAGTGATTACAAGAGAAGGAGAGGTCTTCTATGATTTGTGGTTATGTTTATCAAAGTCTTTTTTGAGTGTTTCATCATCTGACTCTACCTGTTTGGTTCTTCATTTCATCATTCTTTTTATTCTACTCAAAATGTTTAGGGCAATTTGTTTTCTTTTTCCTAAAATATTTTTGTATTTGCTTCTTATGTGAACTCTCCTGATTACAGATTAGTGTATGACTGCATGAGATTAGAAATTGGTCTGATGCCAGACTGCAATTACATGGATTTGTCGTTTTTGATCCCAATGTTTACATTTTTGTGCACATTTTGACTATGGAAAATATAACACAACTAAAGTAAAAATGTTGACTTTTCAATTTTCATATAATCCAAGAAAATCTCTATCATTTTTATAGTATCAATCGACTACATTAGAAAACTAGAATATGTAGATTGAAACTTTAAAAACATCCTAACAACCATATTATTGCATATGGTTAGTCAATAATTAGTGTTTCAATTGCACAAGAAACCGTTGTCAACACAACCAAATTGCGCAAGCAACCGATTAAAGTCTTGACCACGCCTGGACACTATCTTGCTTGTGTCACTAGAAACAATCAAACAAGATATAACAATACTCTTTAAATAATAGTTTAGTACACTTATTATATATTTTGTATAGGTAGTCTTTCTCTTTCGCCATTATCAATTGATATTTACATATATGATGTATATAATATAGGTATTCCAAGAAACTTAAAAAAAAATATTGTCTACTTCATTATTGAACAAACAATTATCATCACACTCACATAAGACATACACCCTTTTGTCCTAAGAAAAACAAATTTTTCTAACAAAGTCTGTCTTTTGCAAACTTAGTTTGAAGAAGAAAAACAAAAGATGGAAGAGAGCAGAAGAACAGAACAAGTTGTATTTTTGCAGAAGTTGAAAAGATTGATCGTGTCTTTTGTTTGTTGTCTACCAATGTCTCTTCTCGGTCTTCTTATCATGCTTCTCTTAATCTACAACAGTTTCTCTGTCTTCTCTCTTTATCTTGATCCAATCCCACCCATTAAACCCACTCCTTCACTTTATCAACACCAAGTTCTTCATCATCATCATCCATCAATATCATTACCATCAACAGAAACACTAACATCATCATCCAAGTCAGATTCTTCACTGTTGCTTGCAGTGAAAGAAACCTCTTCAGGGCTCGTACAGAAGCCAAAAGGAAAATCAAGAGAGAGTTTCAAGACGAGGATCAAGTCATTCTTGTCCAAATCCTCCTGTGAATCCCTCTTCTTCATGACTTGGATCTCTTCCATCGAATCTTTTGGTGATAGAGAATGGTTCACAATAGAGAGTCTCTTCAAATCCCACCCAAATAGCTGTTTGATCTTGGTCTCGAACTCATTTGACTGTGAGAGAGGAACTCTAATCTTGAAACCCTTTACGGACAAAGGGCTTAAAGTGCTTGCGATTAAACCGGACTTCACTTACATCTTCAAAAACACATCAGCAGAGAAATGGTATGAAAGATTGAAGAAAAGAATGTTCAGTCCAGGTGTGATTCCATTAGAGCAAAACCTTTCTAACCTTCTAAGATTAGTCTTGCTCTACAAATACGGTGGAATCTACTTAGACACAGACTTTATAGTCCTCAAATCTCTCACCAACCTCCACAACGTAATCGGAGCACAAGCAGTTGATGTGGTCACAAGAAAATGGAGCAGGCTCAACAATGCTGTGCTCATCTTTGACAAGAACCATCCTCTCCTTGAGAAGTTCATCAACGAGTTCTCAAGAACCTTCAACGGTAACAGATGGGGTCACAATGGTCCATACTTAGTATCCAGAGTTGTTGCGAGATTCAATACTTCTTCCTCGGATTTGGGATTCTCTGTTCTTCCACCATCTGCGTTTTATCCGGTGGATTGGACTAAAATCAGCAGGTTTTACAGAGCGTCTGCGAATGAGAGCGAGGTGAATTGGTCGAGGAAGAGGCTTATGCATTTGCGTAAACATAGCTTTGCTGTTCATCTTTGGAACAGAGAGAGTAAGAAGCTTAGGATTGAAGAAGGAGGCATCATTCATCAACTCATGTCTGATTCTTGCATCTTTTGTAACTCTTCTTCTTTACATTCTACTTATTAAAAACCGTGTATAGTAAGTTTCTACAAGAGAAAGAGAGAGAGAGACACATACAAGATAATTTTGTGTGTGCTATAAACACATACAGATTTGCTGATCTATCTGCCAATTTTAGGAGCCATGCAAATGAGAGGTAAATTAATACCAGTTTTTGAAAATTTAGCTTTATTTAAATATTTAAATTAGTGAAAATAAAGTTAAATTTATAAAAAAAAAAACAATTTCTAAAGTTAATTAAAAAATAAATAATATACTCTGTTAAAATAGAGTTATTCTTTTTATCTACTGATACAAGTTGTCATTTAAATTTGGACCATTTCTAGAATGTTACAAATAATATAAGTCATATAATTGATTGAACCGTATTATTTAAATTAAACCAGCACAATTAATGTAAAGAGACGACCTTAATGTAAACTACCTTCAAAATACGGCAGGTATCTATGTGTATATCGAAAACACATATTTTCTCCTACAAATATGGAATGTTCTAAAAGAATATGTATCATCAAAATATGGAATATGAAAATCTACTAATTATACTTAAATTAAACCAGTATTTATTTATGGAATATAGTCTTAGGCTTACTTTTATTTTTTGAACAAATTATATAGTTGGTATTAAGAAAAAAAAACTCCAAAAACATTGAATAAACTTTTCAACTTAAAAGATCAAAAAATAAATTATTATTTTCAGAACCAAAAGGTATTTAATATTTTTAACAAAACAAAATTATCTATTATTAATCATTTATTTAAATCATGTACTTTAAAACATGTTAATATATTTTTTTTAAATAACACTCACTTTGTTTTTGATAAATTTCAATGGTAACTTTTAAATAATTTATTGTTTTATTTTTCTTAAATAATTTATTGATTAAAAAGTGTAAAGCAAAACCAAAAACCAAATCTAAAAACTAAAATTCAAAACCAAAAGCTGAAAACACATGTTACATTTTTTTGCTTTGTTTATTTACAAAAAAACTATTTCAATTTTTTTTTTAAAAAATTGTTATCATCTTTTCAGTTTTAAATTAGATGTTCGATTATTTGAGATTTGTTTGTTGGTAATATTAGTTTAATATTAGTTTAAACTAACTCATCGGGTTTAAAAATTAAAAACCCAAACCAAAAACTGAAAATGAAAAGTAGAAACTTAAAAACTAAAAACCAAAAACCAAAATCTAAAAATAAAAACTGAAACTAAAAACTAATGAAAAATAATCATCATCACAAATTTTGGTGAACTGATTTTATATCAAAATATTCTTTAAATTAAGACAAAACCCAATTATATAAATTTTTAATCATAAAAAAATTTCCGCGCTTTTCAAGCGCGGATCAAAATCTAGAATATTACAAATAATATAAGTCATATATAATTGATTGAACCGTATTATTTAAATTAAACCAACACAATTAATGTAAAAAGACGACCTTAATGTAAACTACCTTAAAAAACGGAAGATATCAATGTGTATACCGAAAACACATATTTTCTTCTACAAATATGGAATGTTCTAAAAGAATATATATCATTAAGATATGGAATATGGAAATCTACTAATTATACTTAAATTAAACCAGCGGTTATTTATGGAATATAATCTTGGGCTTACTTTTATTTTTTGAACAAATTATATAGTTTGATTTTTGGGCTTAGTATTAAGAAAAAACTCCAAAAAACATTGAATAAACTTTTCACCTTAAAAGATCAAAAAAAAAATTATTATTTTCAGACCCAAAAGGTATTTAATATTTTTAACAAAAGAAAATTATCTATTATTAATCATTTATTTAAATCATGTACTTTAAAACATTGGATGTTCGATTATTTGAGATTTGTTTGTTGGTAATATCAGTTCAAACTAACTCAGCGGGTTTAAAAATTAAAAACCAAAACCAAAAACTGAAAATGAAAAGTAGAAACTTAAAAACTAAAAACCAAAATCAAAATATAAAAATAAAAAGTGAAACTAAAAACTAAGGAAAAACAATCATCACCACAAATTTTGGTGAACTGATTTTATATCAAAATATTCTTTAAATTAAGACAAAATCCAATTATATAAAATTTTAACCATAAAAAATTTCTGCGTTTTTCAAGCGCGGGTCAAAATCTAGTTATAACTTAAGTTAACGTTTACTTTGGACTAGTGGCTAGACACTCTTATCTGTTTACCCGCGAGTTTGAGTTTCACATGTAGCCAATTTTTAATTTTATATAATTTATAAACTAACAGTTGATTAACACTTTGACTGTAAATATATATAAGCATGATTTTAAAAGTTCATGTAATTTTTTGAAGTTTTGTTTAGTGCATTATGAAATACGTACTATTACAAAATTTGTAAAGGAAAATATCCAACACCTACACTTTTTGGATTCTTTTTTGTCTTTCATTTGTTAGAAAATGACATGTATATACAAATGAAAATTTTCACATCTGTTCATCATAATTTCATGAATACTTCTAGAAATTATTGCATTTAGAATCGGAATTTATTGGGAGAATTCAGAATCAAATCTTAAAATTTTGAAGTTTTAGTCATTTTAACCAAATCACAAATCTTAGAAATTTGAGATTTTGAATAGTGAAAGCTTAATTTTGAGGTTTCACTATTCAAAACCTCAAAACTTTTTTTGTTTGTTTTCTTTTTTGGTCCTTAGAACTATTTTTCAAAACTTTATGTACTAAGCTTAATTTAGAATAACTTAAATACACCAAAATAAAATAAAATAGGATAAATATTACATAACTTTAAAACAAATCTCACACAGTAGAAAATACATTAAATAAATCTCATACAAGATAAAAATACATTAAACAAACTTAACAAAAATCAAAGAAATTTAAATAAACACGTAAATATTACATCTCTTTCGGAAATGATGCTTGAGTAATTTGGTATTTACATGTAACTTTTCAAAATTTGTGTGTATCTATGTTTTATTATATATATAACGTATACTATTTTTACTCTATGATATTATAATATTGTGTGTTGTATAATAAATTAAATGAATGTTTTATATGTATTTGTGAAGTTTATCATTATTTGTAACTTTTGCTAATGTCAAAGATTATAATATAAATGAATAACATTTTAAGGACTTTTTGGACATTTATGATTAGAGCAATCAATCTTCAAATATTCCTTTTGAAATTTTTCTCCTTTTAGATAAGATGTTGGGTTGGATATGCTTTTAGTAAATCGAAAATATTGTTTTGTTCATACTGCCGTGTATGGATGTTGAAATTATCTTTCTGAGAGATTTAAGAGTTGAAAGTTTCGGTTAAATTGCAAAAAAAAATGATATGAAAAAGATGAATATTTTGTATATGTATGAAGAGAAAAAGAAAGAAACACAGAACCATTGTATCAAGAAAATAATTGGGGTAAAAAAGACCTTATTTTCAGATTCATTAGGAAACTAAAGTACGACTATATGTAATTTTTGAACCCAAATAAATGTTCAAATTATTCTAAATATGTTAGATTACATCAGTGCTACATATTCATCTAACACCGATAAGAACCAACCTGTTAAAAGGAACAAATTGGGATGTATTAAAAATTTCACGTTTTGGTGGAGTCTCTAATCCAAATTACAAATATATAATTACAAACCAATATTCAGAATACAAATTAATAAATAAATAAATAATCGTGACACAAGCAAAATCAAGGAGTATCACCATCACCTGACTTATTTATGAATGTAAAAAAATAAAAAATTGAAGTATACCTTATTTAGCGCAGCAAAAAACATCTCGTTTTGTTTCCAACGGTTTTAACTGTTACCAACGACTTATGTGGTCCTTTCACGAACCGAAGGAGATCGGTTCGAGGTTTTTCGAGAAGCAGTGGCTGCTGATCTCTCAGCGATTCTTCTCTGCCTTTCCAAAACAAGATTCTCTATTCTCTTCCTCATTTCTTCTTCCTACATTACCAAAACATTAAACACGCAAAAAAAAAAAAAAACTAATAACAAAGGAAAATGCAGTGAAGATGGGTTGTCTTTACCTTTTCAAACTTGTTCTTCTGTGCCATTGTTCTGCTAGCTGCTACCGGTTTCTTTACAGTGTTGGACGTGGTTTCACCTCTGCTTCTAGCTGGAGTTCTAGTCTTACGAGCTTCCGGGTTCTTCTTTTTCTCCACGCTCGAGACGGTTTTATCTTCTTTTTCCTGAGCTGTTGTTCCGTTACTTGATAGCCTTGCGTTCACTTCAGCAGAGAAATCAATATAGTGATCATTAGCCAACGAGTCTCCTGAACTGCGTTCAGGGATCATACATAGATCATTTGGTTCCCACGAGCCTGACATTTCACGCTTCTCATTTGTTGCATGACCGTTATCAATGCCAACATCCTCTGGTCTCCAACGAGAATCATAAACATCTTCACCAGTGAGGGAGGATGAATGGACCATGAAAGAATCATCAACGAACTCTTGTTTCTTGCTCTGATCAGAACCTCCAGATGTTGTCATAATGCAACTTTCATCAAATGACATACTCCCCCCATAGTTGCTTCTTTCCGGTTTCACTCCACAATGATCAGAAGTAGTAAACCAATCCTCTCCACTTCCTCCTGACTTCTTCACCAATGATGTTGTAGCATTATACAAGTCCTTGCTTCCATCTCTAAACATTTCTGTTCTCTTTGGCAATAACATATACTCTTCTGTTGAATCTCTCGTTCTTGAAACCCTACCCTCACTTTCAAACTGATCAAAGCTCGCTCCTCCACCATTTTCTATGTGTTTCTGAGTTAAATCAATGGAATCGCTACAGCCATTGTTGTTTACTTGCAAACCTTTAGATCCTCCGTGTGTGAAATGCTCTTCACTGACGACATTCATTGAATGTATATCTGAGCCATCGTCGTGCCTCATCAGAATATTCTGAAAAGAATCCCAATTCTCACTATTGCTTCCTTTTGCTTCAGCTGAACTCTTCAGAATCTCATCACCAGAAACTTCTCTATCATAAGCTTTAGTAGAACCGTTGTCAGTAAACTCATTCCCCTCCACAATGTCTCCGTTTCTCCCCTCGGGGCTTATGTAGTTAATGTTACGGATGATAACAGTCTTAGATGATGACTTCTTCCTGTTTTTCTTTGAGGACCTACGAGAGTTTTTAGTGTGTCTTTTACCTTGATCTTCCAAAGAAGAAGCAGAATCATCATCGCTTCCCGAGTCAGATGATTCACTAGACCCACTAGACTCATCTCCATCAGAATCACCTTTGCCTTTCTTCTTGAAAGCTTTTGAAGGCCATGGCATGTTTCCTTGGTTTTGATTAGGCATCATAGGGTAAGGATAGCCTTGGTATGGAGGTGGGTAGTAATACTGAGGTATATGGTTAGGCCATCCCATTGGTGGTTGAAAGTTTGGAACAGCAGAAGCGTGCTGGTCTACAAAATCAAAACTTAGTAATGTATCCATCTAGCAGGTGAGAGAAGAATTACTACAGTAAGGTACCTTTGTTTTCAAAACTTGAGTTAGATGAGTCTGTCCCGTTTAGTGGAAGAGCAGCAGCAACTTCATTGGTGAGAATGATCCCTGAGGAACCTAGCAAAGACATGTCTGCTGGTGCAATAGCTTTCACAGCTGCTAATTCAGCCATCCAAAGCCCATCTCCATGCTTCTTCTGCCATAGTTCCTTGTACTTTACGCATGCTTCCCTGCATAATGATGTTAATTAATGCCTTTGCAAAATGAACAAGAAATGGTTGTTGGCAACTGTCTCTAAATACCTTAACCTTGACGCACCAAAAGCATCAGCGAAGAGTATGAGATCATCAATAGTATCGATTTCAAAACCAGCAACAACCCCTCGTGCATAAGCCATTGCTTGCTCTCTCCGAAGCAATGTTCTTCTGGTTTCAAGAAGACGTTGAAGCTGAATCCTGACCAACACAAAAAAAAAAATAACCGAATTAGTCAACCAAGGCTACTTGTTTATCAGCTGCATCATGATTCAACATGTATAGTATAGTTCCATAAGAAAGTTACTTTGAGGTTTCTTCTCCTGCAGCCCCATCGCCATTCTCAGACTCCTTCTGTGTAATACATACATTGAGAGGACAATTAATTGAAAAAGCTAATTACTCTCTCTGTTTCAATTTATTTGTCTTTTTGAGTTTTTGCACACATATTAAGAAAACATTTGATTTTGTATGTTATCTAGATAAAAATACTACGATTTATACGGCTAACCATATTTCAACCAAATAAAAAAAAATTATATAAAATTAATAAATTTTGTATTAAAATTATAAAACAACGTTTATTTTGAAACATTGAAACAGACTAAAAACTAAATAAGACAGAAAACACAAGTTACCTTGGAGGAGGATTCATTTGACTTTCTTACAGTACTACTCCCTGCACATTATTAAGTAAAAAAAATCAGGAATACTTGTCATTATTACAAGCAAGCTTTAGTAAGTTATTTCAAAAGCCTACCGTCTTGTAATTGATCAGCAGCAGTAGCAATCTCATTAGCTTGGATAGAGTGATCAATCTGCAAGATCTCTTTCTCCAGAGTCACGAACCTCTCGATAATCGCAGGCGTGTTCACGAATCTCACAAACCTGCAAGCATCCACAGAGTTCAAGATCTTCCCATACACCACTTGTAACAACAATTCAAATCTCAATTGTGAAAACATACCGATCAAAAGTGGATTTGGTGAACCAAGAAGAGTGAGAAGTGGAGGGAGGATGAAGAGAAATGGAGTAACCGCCTTTGGTGATTTGATCTCTTGCGAATTTAAGATGAGAGATGAAGGGTTCGAATATCCCTGATGCTAACTTCTCCTTCTTACTCCCACAGAACAACACCAGATCGAATCTTCAAAAATAAAATAAAAAAGAAACATTATTCAAAAAACAAAGAAGACCAATCGTCATCGTCAAGCATAATCATAGAGACAGACCTGGTACGAGTAGGAGTGAGTTGAAACAAAGCAGAACCGAGTATAGCTCTCGAATCCATTGAGAAAGATCAGTGAAGTCTTCTTCTTCTTCTTCTTTTTGTCCGGAGAGACGTGAAGAAGGAGACATATATTGACTTTGATTAGTAGTTTTTATTTTGGATTCGAAGCTTGCCGGTGACAGCAAAGGATGAGTTAAGCCACACAGCACATGGTTACTTTAGTGGTCCCCATCAATCATGTTTATGCTCCTCCGCCTCTCTTTTCATTATTTTTTATATCATTTTTTCCTAATTCATCTAATCTAGTTATTATACAAAATATCAACACAGACAAAACAAGTCAACTTGAGGAAAAAGCATTACGAATTCACGACTTTCTCGTTAGGCCTGGGGAAAAAACCGGAACCGAAGAACTAAACCGAAACCGAATCGAAATATCTGAAACTGGAATTGAACCAAGACTTTTAAATATCTGAACGGTTCTTCTATTTATATATCCAAAATAATCGAACTAAATCGGAACCAAACTGAGAACCGAATGAATACCCGAATATATAATATTATTAATTTTACATATATATAATATAACCAAATATATGATTTTAATTTAAAAATCTATTAGAAGTATCCAAAATTAATTGAAGATAACTAAATAATTATAAAGTATAGGAACTACTTGAAAGTATATGGATAATTTTATCCAAATATCCAAAGTAATCCGAAATATATGAAATTTGTATTTAAATTTTTCGAATTATTTGATATTAAATCCTAAATAACTGATAACTAGGTGATTTTCCCGTCCTTATGCACGGATATGAATATTCATAAAACTAAAATTTTATAATAATTGATTGTTATTTAGTTTTAGTTTTAAATAAATTATATGTATAATTTATATTAATAAATATTATATGATTCTAATACATATGACTTTGGATATATTATTGTCGGTTTAATTATTTTTTGGATCAATAATCGATTTGGTTATCAATTTGGTATATTGGATAATATCTATTTTTCGAATTCAGCTATAATATTTTATATTCTAAATATAATAAAACTTTGATTAATTTTTTTATTTTCATTTCGGTTGGTTATTGTCTTAGATATGTAAATATATTATAGTTAAATTATGTATAATTTATTATATAGTGTGCTTAAAATGAAAAATAATGAGCTGGATTGTTTGATTCAAAATTACATAAATGAATATAATGATAATATTTTGAAGTCTCATATATATAAATTCTACAAAAGAATTAAATTGTAATTGGTTCATATTTCTTTTTCTTTTTAATATGCTTTGAGTCAACCTCTAATTTATATGTAAAATTAAATATATTATTATTATTATTATTATAAAATTATCGTTCTTATTGTAGTTAGATGTTTAATTTTGTATATAAATTATTAGTCGAGTCATTCATTTTGTGAGTATATTGAGTTTAATATATTTTTAAATTAAAATTGAAGTATAATTACTTTTTTATTTTAGTTAAGTGAAATCAAATTAGTTTTATTTATCGCTTAAATATATATATATATATATATATATATATATATATATATATATATATATATATATATATATGTATTTCGTAATATTTATTTACTCTTTATTTTATTTACGTTTAAATATACATGTATTTTCATAATATTTATCAAATTATATGTTGATTTCTAAACAATATTAGAAAATAAAGTGTAACTGATAAATTTTTGAATATTTATGAACATATATATTTTTATTATTTTGAAAAAATATATTTTATGTTATTTAAAAATATATATTAATGGGGTATTACTATTTTGTGCACTTTCCTTTTTAATAAAGTCATATTATATACATATATTTTTGTTTTAAAATTTGTTTTAAAATTTGTTTTAAAATTTTAGAAATATTTTCTTTTTATTATATATGTTATTTGGAAAAAGGTAAAAAAGAAATTAAATAAAAATATTAATAATAATCTTAAAATCTAACAATTCATTAAGGGTATATATGTAATCAACTACCGCGAAAGTTAACGTGAGCGCGACACGTATGAAACTGACTTATCAAATAATATTATACAGATTTATCCGAATTACCCGAACTGGAACTAAATGAGAACCAAAATTTTTAGATATTTTTTGATTCCTAATTTTACTAAACGAACCGAACCCGCTATCCAAACCGAACTGGAAATAGGTTAAGTAGTAAATGGATCTTTTAACCTCTACCCGAACTACCCGAAATCTGAAATACCCGAACCAAACCGAACCGATACCCGAAATGCCCAGACCTAATTCTCATAAAGAAACTTGAAGGAAGTAATTTTTTGCTTTGACGATTTTATTTGTTTCCGACAAATAACATTAAATTTTTTATATATAAACATTATTTTAGGACTTATATGTATAATAACCCCAAAAAAGTAATTAATTAGACTTTTATGGAGAGGTTAAAGAGAGACATGAAGAGAATCCTACTGTTAACTCGTGAATTTGCGGTGACTTTAATGGAAAGATTTTTACTGTTATTGTTAGAGAATCGAAAATTGCATTTTCCCCTCAAGGGATGTAGCATATCCTGAATGCTTGACTCCTCTTTTGAAGAGTCTTAATCTCTACCAGTTTTATTGAGAAATTAGGTCATACATGAGGTTTTTTAATCATGGTGTTTCAGAAAAAAATCATGGTGACATAGCATACTCTCCCTCACTTATATTAGAGCATCTCTAAAAATTAACTATATTTTGAAGTTTCAAAATTCTATATTTGAAGTTTCAAAGTATTTTTTTCCAAAAGAAAACTTCAAAACTTACTTCAAATTATTTATATTTTATATTATGATCTTTATATTTGTCACAATTAATTAAAATTCATAAAAAATTATAAATAACTAAGACATATATAAAAATATTATAACAATATTAATTAATAAAAATTTACATTAAAATATAAAGCTATAAATAGAAATGCATAATTAAATATTAAACTACAAGCAAAATACCACATTATTCCATAAAATTATTTCCTCCTCTCATATGTAATCAACTAGTGCATTTCGCAGTAAGAAATGACTCTATTTATTTTTAAATGGTAGATTACGAGCTAAGAATTGTTGAAAATGGATATCTTCATTTTCCCCCATATCAATTGTTGCTTCTACCACTGATCTTGTATCTTTTATCGGCGCATAAATATCATGTTCATTCTCAATTATCATGTTATGTATTTTGGAGCTCCCGGGATAGATTTACCAAATTATTAGTGTTGTTGTAATATTTAAATTTCTACAGTAACTATGCCTTCATGTACGTTTTATTTAAGTTTGTTTTGTAATATTTTTGTTGTCTAAATCTACATTTAAAATAATATAATTTTATTTTAAATTTTTTATTTAATTTTATGTGTGTGAAGCTTAATTTATAGAAATAAATTTGAAAATTTGTGAGATATAAATTTTTTTAAAGATTAAAATGATAAATAAGGAAATATTTAAGAATCATAAATAAGATATGTAAATATAAGAATCAAATTGCAAATAAAAAGATGAAACTTCATATTTGAAGTTTCACTCTCCCAAACTTAAAAAAAAACTATATATTTGAAGTTATAGAGAATCTTTTGGAGATGATCTTAGTGCTTCTTATTCTGAGTGCAAAGCTGACTCCGGTCATCTTATGTACACTATCCCCATTAATTGAATTTGATCCACGATGAAATTATTTTTTTAGTTGAAAAAATAATATAACAGTTTATAAATTGTATATCATTTCTTTTTGATTTATTTAAGTTATGTTGTATTTATTCTAAATTTTAAGATTTTAAGAATTATAATTTGTGTTACGCGATAATATTTTTTATTCAGTAATTGAAAATTATATGTGAAATAATCATCAAATACATCATTTAAATTTTATTCACTGTTTCATATCTCGTCACTCGGTCGTACGGTAAACCTGGTGACCCGTATATAATTTGATTCAAATTTAATGAAATCCTCATTAATTAAAAACTTGGTAAAACTCGGTAAAAATCCAAAAACCTGTTATTAGAGCCGTGACCACATACCGGTTTATCCCCAAAAAAATCTAGTAATATTTATAGAAATTGAATAAACTTCTCATAACTTTTTAATATTGTTTAAACTTATATAAAATCAAATAAATGATTTAATTTTTGATTCTTTAAACTTTGATTAAATTTTTGTTATGTCATTCTAAGAAAACAAAGAGAATAATAATAGAGAAACCTAATATTTATTGATATTACATCGTTAGTTTTTTATTGATAATTATTATAAGTTTAAATTTCTTATTTATTGTAGAATTACAAAAGTATGGTAAATTTTTAGTTATTTATTCTCTTAACAATTTGTCAAAGTTCTAATTGAATTAATTCAGTAAATTATATTATTTTATATTGATATATTTATGGGATATAATATTTGATCAACTTGTTACATATGTAATTAATACTGACAAATGTAATATATTTTTCAATTAATTTTTGAGAAATTGTCAAATATGACCTAAAATTTTCATTTTAAATATAAAAGTATACTTTAAATTCAATCAAATGAAAAATTAACCCAAAAAACTAACAAAATAACACGCAACTTCTTATGACCAAGCAAAAAACATGTATGCATTTTTACAAATATAACCTGAGACAAAAACAGCTTCAAAGATTTAAACATAAAATAATTGAGAAGGGTTTAAATTTTCTGAGTTTTGTATTAATTTTAAGATCTTCTCAAAAGATTTAGTACAAACGTTCATGAATTAAAGGATCTTTAGTTATAAGATGATAAAAGCATTTTGTTTTAGATCCATATACAATAATGAGCCAAAAGTCACTTTCACCACCAGCAATTCTCCATCTTGAAAACACGTTCCTAGATGGTTTTCTTTTACAGATAATATGATCATATGTTTTTCCTATTTAAGCATGTGCAGGACTTTGAACACAATCTAATATTATCGTAGTTGAAATGATAAAATATTCCAAAAGGCAAAGTATACATTATATATAGATTAATCTAAATTATGAATCGCCTTTTCGGTTTTCAGCTTGTCATTACATTGTGTGTGGGTTTGAGTAGCGCCAAGTTCTACGAGAAAGACTGTGCATTTTAATAACTCTCTTAACCCAAACAACGTTCTCAAAGTTCATTGTATATCGTAGCAAGGTGACTTTGGCGACCACTTTTTACGCCTTGGACAAACCTATGATATTAGCTTTTATGAAAGTATTAAGAAAACAAAGATCGATTGTGACTTATGGCAGGGCCTTGATTTCAGGCTTCATGCAAAGTTTAGGGCATATAAAGGTGGTAGGTTCATCGTTCATTATGGTAAGAAAAACTTTTGGGATGCTAGACAAGCTGGGATTTACTTCACACATGGTAAAGAGTTACCCAAGTTAGAGTATAAGTGGTCAAACTAATAGTTAATTACCAGGGAACTGACATCTAGATCTTCTTTGTTTAAGCTGCAATGTCATATCTTATATTTGTTCTTGCCTTCTTGGATTATATACTTATAAATTATAACCTTTTTTTTTTTTTGAGAAACTTAAGTTAAAACCTATTGAATAAAATGTTGAAATGACATTTATGTCTGTGATACTATTGGTGGATTTAGGAATGTTTTCTGTTAAGAACATAAAACATTTTTAAAACTCAAAATACAGTATATTTATTATATAGAATTAAATTAGTTTTGAATTAAAGCCGATAAAACTTAAAACAATTTACTCGCTTCTAAATTCATTTATATTGTTACAATCAAAACCTGAATTCTTCACAAATCGGCCAGTTTTTAGATATAATTACCTGAATTCAGCAACCAACAATTGTAAAACAAATGATAAGATGTTTCTTCAGCCGATTTTTTTTTTGTTATTTATTCTTCAAACGAACACATTTTAAAATCTCGAATTCCTATCAAGTTTTAGATATAAAATGCAGTTTAGCTTTGTCAAAAACTCAGTTAAAGGTATCCCAAATACCGTGAAATACATCTCTATCTTTCTTGGGTATGGTAATTGGTAAACTTCATCCCAAACGAAAGAAGACGTAGGATCATCACATTATGTAGACATCATCACAGACGTAGGATCGTCACACTATTTATATATCATCACAGAGGTAGGATCATTCACATAAGGTATACATATATATATTCACCTTCTTACTATCCACACGTACACAAGAACCTTCGCAACAAGATTCAACGGATCAGTTTTAAACCTTATCCTCCTGACATCTCCACAAATCGGCCACACAAACAAATCTTTGAGACTGTGGTTTAAATATTAAAGATCAAACGTGAACTTATGTTACGTGGAACCTCGCCTTTGTTCTTCAAGATGGTCATGAATACGTTGTTACTTGCGAACATCAATGATGAAGTAATATTGCCGTTCTTCCCTAACCAGGAGTCTTAGCTACTATTTGTTTCAATATTTTGCCGTGGAGATTTTTGTCGTCAAAAAAAACAAAATTTGTCGTGGAGATTTAGCCTTGACCCAAAAGTTTTTTTACCACATGAACAATACAAACTTTTGGGATTTTTAAGCATATATTTTTTTATGTTTAAAAAACTAGTTTGTATAAGCTTTTTTTTAATAAATGTATTTCTGAATTTTATAAAACAACTATATTATTAAATTAGTCTCATACAAAATAGTTTTTAAAGAATTATCTTCAAATTTTCTTATGAAGACATGTGTACTCAGTTAGTTTGATTTATCTGGTTAAGAATTATTTGGTTCTGGTTGCAAAAAAAAAAGTTGGATTGAACCGACATTTTTGTTTTTAGTTTTGGGTTAAATTCTGATAAACTTGGGAATAATTTAGATAATTTCGGTTAATATTTATGTTAGTTCAGCTTGTCTTATATCCATAACTAAGTACTTTCATGTACATACAGGTCTAATTATCTATAAATCAATTTAATAATCATTAAAATAAATGATTATTTTCATCTAAATTTTTTAACAAAAACCATAAACATTTTACATAACAAAGTGTTTCAAAAAATTTAAAAAAAAATCTATTTTTTTGTTTAAAACTTTGAAAAAAAAATTCTATTTCATTTCTCTTAAATTGATAACCAACTATAGAAATTTATCTTTCAATTTTAAAATTTTAATGGATAAGTATACATACAAAATTGATCTTATAGAAAGAATACATTATTTTAGATAATAATACATTGTATTTGAATTTGTTTTGTCGAACACGCTTTTTCTCTCTTACTAACGATTTTTTTATTATAATTAGTTTCATATTTAATAGTTAACTATATAAAAATATAAATATAAATTTAATTATTTATTAAGGATTAAATCGATTTAAGGTAAGAGCTCAGATGCAAAAAAATGACTTTGCAATACAAGTACAGATTGTGGATATGATTTCAGTTTGGTTTGGAAAATTGGTAAAGCTTGTTAGAGGAATGTAAACATAAACAAACTGATTTATTAAACCAGATCAATAACCAAGTAGTTTTGTACCCTCAACCGAACATGATCGAACCATTTTTTACCGGTTTATAAATAAGCAAATCAAAACCGAGGTCCTTACTAGTATAAACCGTTCGGTTCATGGACGGTTCGCCATCATAATACCATTACCCTCCTCCGTAGTACTCCCATCTCTTTTCTATCTTCTTTTTTCTTCATCAGTTGTAGAATTATTAGGGAAGCCAATCTAGAAGCGAAGCAAGGTCCCCAAGAATCTCCGTCTTCCGTTTCCCAGATTCTCTTCTCTTCTCCAGGTACAGAAAATAGTCTCACGCACACACTCTTTCTTAGAACTGAGAACTACGGTTCCCTTTTGATCGCAAAATAGAGCTCTGATCCAAGTGTGAGTTTTCACTTGGAAAGACTTGTTATATTTTTACTGCAGGTAAGAAGTTCAATTTAGATTGAATATGAGAGCCTTCTAATGTCACTGTTTCGTATCTTCATTAATCAGCTTGACGAAGACGACCTAGAAATGGTAATTCAGTTACATCCCTTCCTAAGTTCTTCTTATGAGTCTGTTTGTATCTATGATCCAACAACTTTGACTTATGATGTGTTGTCAATTGATTAAGGCAAGTTCGAAGAAAGTGATAACACGTGAGGAGTGGGAGAAGAAGCTAAACGCTGTAAAGCTTAGGAAGGAAGACATGAACACTCTCGTCATGAACTTTCTTGTTACTGAGGGTTTTGTTGAAGCTGCTGACAAGTTCCAAAGGGAGTCTGGAACTAAACCTGAGATAGATCTGTCCACCATCACTGATCGAATGGCTGTTAAAAAGGCTGTGCAAAACGGTCACGTTGAGGATGCTATTGAAAAAGTTAACGATTTGAATCCTGAGGTACTACACCACAATGCTTATCTCTTGAGAGAGATATCAAGAATCAAAAGCTGATCTCTTTTTTTTTGTGTGGTTGCAGATACTAGACACGAATCCGGAGCTCTTCTTTCATCTTCAGCAGCAAAGGTTGATTGAACTTATTCGACATGGCAAGATTGAAGAAGCCTTGGAGTTTGCTCAAGAGGAACTTGCTCCACGTGGCGAAGAAAACGTAAGTCATGGCCTTTTACATTTTAAGCATCTCTCTGTGTATATACATTATTTGAAACAACATTCATGTACAATTTTATGTTGATTCTTTGTGCAGCAATCGTTTCTGCAAGAACTGGAAAAAACTGTAGCGCTGCTTGTTTTTGAAGATGCCTCTAATTGTCCTGTTAAAGATCTTCTTGACATTTCCCACCGCCTTAAGACTGCAAGTGAAGTCAATGCAGCCATTCTTACCAGCCAGAGTCATGAAAAAGGTAACTAACTGTCCCTTGTTGTTCTTTTTCTATCTTCTTGACCATCATTCATTTCCAATCTAAAGATTCTTCTCGGAGTAAGAAGAGCCTAATTCACAAGGCACAGAGCATCATTTAAGTCATTAACATTCAGATTATTTCATTCCTTTCTTCACTGGCCACATGTATCATCATTCAAATTCTTTCTAGTTGATGACTTGATGTTTGTGAACAAACAGATCCAAAACTTCCAAGCTTGTTGAAGATGCTGATTTGGGCTCAGAATCAGCTGGATGAGAAAGCAGTGTATCCGCACATCAATGATTTGTCTACTGCCCAGCTCCAAGACCCCTCAGAATAATTCAATACTTCTTTCAGCAAGAGGCAAAAAAAAAAACTGCAGAAGGGAACAATCAGTGTTACCCTTCTCTTCCCTTCTACCTCAATAACATATATGTTTAGCTTTTCTGCTTTTCTTTTTTCTTCTGCATGGGAACTTGTTGTACCCGGAATTGTTTAGGATGTGGAAGGGAACATAAAACTGTGTGGGGAATGAATTATTCTACTCAAATGTTGTGATTCTCAACATAATTGCATGTGCACAATTGTTTTGAATGAAGTTATTGAATCTTCCCTTGTTTTAACGAACTTGTGTTCCATACCTAAAAAGATCTAGTAAATTCGTCGAGTTGTTCCAAATAATCAAAACGGCCTGTTATTAATGGAATGCCTTGTCGGCTCTCTGTAAAATACTCGTTTGGACGAGGGCTCCCAAACACATTGTAAGCTAAAGAATTTACAGTTCCGGCTCCCCAGCGGAGCGTAACCACTTTCTTACTCGTAAAGGCAAAGAAAAAAGGGATCCGCCTCGAATCAAAACGTTCTTTCTTTTTTAAAATGGTCCCGAAATTTTAAACGAGAAATGGCTTTGTTCCTCCTTAACATGTGTATATGGATCAATCAATCAACTTGCTAAGGCTGGTCCTGTTCTTCTGCTACTGACAGACAGGTTTGAGTCTTTACGAAATGAAGTGAGAGTCCACACTTGTTGTGAATGTGGAGACTATTCTGAATCCGATCTATTTTTGGTATCCAAATATATCAAGTACAAAGCAAACGAATCTCTTCTACTTTCCAGTAAAAATTCATGGACAACATACGAATTGATATTACCACACAATACCATAAAATGGTTAATGCAAAACCATGAGGAATGTGGTTGACTAGTTTTGGAAAGAAAAAGAGTAAGACCCAGTGTTGGGATCTTTAACAGCTTTGAAGTTGTCTACACTCATCCCAAATTTACCCAGTATCGTGTTTCCCATCTCCTTCAGCTTTGCTGTTAAAATCAGAAAAAAACATATCATCGAGATTAGGTAAAATACTCAAGAGTCACAATGCAACAATAAATCTTGATCAGAAAACATCAACAAGGCCTTTTGATACCTATGGCTTCTTCTTTCATCTTTTCTCGCTTCTCAGCCGCCAATGGTTCTAAACGCCGAATCCCTTTTTTAGCCTGATCATTTGAAGGATCCAGTTCTAATAGCTTCTTCAAGTCTATACAATGCACAGAGACACAAATCATTTATATCTCCAATCAAACTCTATTCTATTAATAGTTTCTGACAGGAGAATGTAAAACCAGGACTTACCAGTGAGGGCTTCTTCAAAGTGTTCAAGCTTTTCATGAGCTTCTGCACGACGAACCAAAGCTTTGGTATAGCTCGGATTCAGCTCTATCGCTTTGGTACATTCCTTGATCGCTTCTGCATATTTTCCCTATAGTAGCACAAAGAGATCACATCAGCAGAGTCCTGACAGCTATTTATAGCAATAACATGATAACCAAAAAGAATCCAATACAAGTTAAGAGCATCTGCTAAAGAAGATACCAATTTGAGATAACATATAGCTCTGTTTGAATGGCAGATAGATCGAAGCTCCAAAGATTCAGGAAACTCCTGGGCAAACTGTAACGCAAGCTCATACTTCGACAATGCATCTTCGTAAAGACCATTCCCATACAGCTTGTTTCCTTCCACCTTAGCTTCACTCGCATCCTCCAAAGCTTTCTCCTTCTAAAACAAAAAAAGGAAGACAAGTAGAAGCTAACATCAAGCCTAAACCATTGCAAGTTATAGATGCAAGCAAACATCAAGCCTAAGACATCTCAAGTTATAGATTCCAACTAACATCATGCTTAAGCCATTTCAAGCTATAGATTCAAGCTAACATCAAGTCTAAGCCATTGCAAGTTATAGATTCAAGCTAAAATCAAGCTTAAGACATTTAAAGCTACAGATATAAGCTAACATCAAGCTATTTAAATTTGTAGATTCAAGCTAAATCAAGCTTACGCCATTTCACGTTACAGTGTCAAGCTAAAACAAGATTAAACCATTTCAAGTTATAGATTCAAGTTCAAATCAAGCTCTAGCCATGTCAAGTTACAGATGCAACCAAACATCAAGCTTAAAACATTTCAAGTTATAGATTCAAGCTAAATCAAGCCTAAGCCGTTTCAAGTAACAGATTCAAGCTAACATCAGCTAAGTCATTTCAAGCTATAGATTCACGCTAACATCAAGCCTAAGCCATTTCAAGTTATAGATTCAAGCTAGCATCAGCTTAAGTCATTTCAAGCTATAGATTCACGCTAACATCAAGCCTAAGCCATTTCAAGTTATAGATTCAAGCTAGCATCAGCTTAAGTCATTTCAAGCTATAGATTCACGCTAACATCAAGCCTAAGCCGTTTCAAGTTACAGATTCAAGCTAACATCAAGCTATTGCATGTTCTAAGTTGAAGAAAGATCGATCACCTGATTTGATCCAACATCGCTAACGGCCTCCACTTGATCTTCCTTCTTCTCGGGGTTATCCGACGGTTGTGACTCCTGATTATCTATCGCGTCTTGTTTCCTATCACCTTCTTCCTCTTCTTCTTCTTCGTTATCGCTCACTCCACGTTCGCTAGCAGTTTCGAACCCGTCGGAATCATCTCCGCCGACGATTTTCGCCTCAGTTGTTTCGGGCGGAGACGAGGAAGAACGCGACGGCTTTGGTTCTTCTTTCACAGAGATTTCATCGTCGCTTTCGCTTTCGATCAACACCATTTTCAACTCAGGGACTTGGGGGATTGTTTCGAGGTCTTGGCAGAAGATTCAACGATGGTGATTGATCGACGATCTTTACTGGAGACGAAGGTTCAAGATATTTCCTTTAAACGGTGTCGTCTTTGTCTTTGGTTGTTTTCAGTTGGGTTAGGTAATATTAGGCCCAGGGCCGGCCCGTAAATGTATTTTGTTTTTTACTCGATTCTATTCTCCCATTTGAATAGTGTACAAATTATTTTTCAAAAATAGATCTCCTATTAGTTTTCGATTATAAGTAGTGGAAACTGGAAAGCAATTTGAAAAGATAAAGTAATGGAGATCTTCCCAATTAATAAATCAATAAGTCAAAAAAGAAGAAATGTCAAACGCATTATAGATGTCTTTGATTTGCTTGCGTGATCGTCATGTCTAACATCACAGCTTGCAGAAAAAAGAAGAAAGTTAAGATAAACCCACTTCTCAAAAAAAAGAAAATCAAAAAGATTTAAAACAATTTTGGAAATTAAATAATAAATAAATATATAACATATCTTTGAAAGCTAATAAATTCTAGTTAGGTATTCACAAAAATAATTAATTAATTATATATATTAATTAGTCTAAACAAATATTGTCTCATTATACGTATGACCAACCTTGATATATAAACTACTCCCTCTGTTTTTAAATAAGTGTCACTTTAGCCTTTTAATTTTGTTTTAGAAAAAGTGTCATTCTACAATTCCAATGTACTTTTGTACATTAAATCTATTTTTTACCCTTTTGAATAACCAATAGTATTTTACTTAAATTATTTTCATTTAATTAAACATACATTAAATAGGGATATATTAGTCTATTATACAATTTTCTTAATTTATGTGCAAAGAGTCAAAATGACACTTATTTAAAAACAGAGGGAGTATTAGATATGGACATGTGCGTTGTCTGGGTTTTGTTTGATGTTTTAATTGCATTAAAAACATAAAAAGTGAATTTTTGTAATGTAAATAAAAAATGTAAATGATTTTGTAGATATTGTGTGAAAATTATTTTAAGAAATGAAATTTGTTTTTTTTCACATAAATTTTGATTGATATTTATATTTTAGTAATCATAGTGGCTAAACTGCTCTTACCAACTTTGTATTTAGTGCAAGAAAAAAAAGAGCCAAAATTTAAAAGGCAATTCTCTCAGATAATTATTTTTAAATTTTTTTTACAAAACAAATTCTCAAAAGAAAATGATCAAAATAGCTTCTTTTATTTTGAAATTTGTAATATTTATTTTTAATTTTTAAAATATGGAATTCTAAACCAAAAATTTCACCCCCTTAACTCTAAATTTTAAGTCTAAATTAGTTAACCCAAAGATATAAGTGCATATTACCCTTTAATAAAAATTTATCTTGGCCATTTTCTTACTTCATGATTATTTTTGTGAAAACAAACTACAAAAACTATCCAAGAGATTCCCTTCGTTTCATTTTAGTGGTGGTTTTGCACAAAGATTAGAAAAAACATTTAATTTTACATATATTCTCGAGATAAAAACACTATTAACTATACATCTAAATCACATTGGTTTTTTGACGGGATGGTGTAGCTTGGTGGTAAAAACCTTGGAGGCCAATAGTCATGCCCCGGGTTCGACGCCGCAGGGAGGCGAGCTACCCATCCATGTCATAACAATGCGGTATTGGGTGTTGGGCCTTGTCCTCAGCCCAGGTTTAAAGCCCTCCCGGGTGAAAGTGGACCGCTGCCTAACCGGGCCCAGATGAATGATCCACGTAAGTGGGGAACCTCTGGATTATCAAAAAAAAAAAAAAAAAAAAAACTATCCAAGAGAATTTCTCAAATTCAAATCAAATTCAAAATGAACCCAACCCCGAAGAAATAAATATGAATTAGAGTGAAATATAATAAATTAGAAAGTTGAATTGAACCAATCGAGTCAATGATAGTGTAATACATTCATATGCTCTTAGTTTAATATTTTTTGTGCATTTATTATCATCTATATACTTTTATTTGCATGGTTTTTCATCTTTTAAGTATTTTCCGTCCAGCTCTTTATATTCTCTTAAAATAGAGAAACTATATTATGAGTTTCACCAATGTATGACTCTATTACAAAATTATACATCGAAGAAAATCCGCTTCTATAATAAAGTTTCTCTATATTAAAAATTATATTAAGGAATATTTATGTGAATTTGAAATGAATTTAGTTGTTTAACCAATGAAAAACACTAGATCACTATTTTTATGATGTAATTTAGAGGTCATGAAACTATAAATATCTTATGCAGTTTAACACTGCTTTGAATCTTGTAGCCACAAACATATACGAATATGATAAAGATCAAATTTCTGAATCTTGATTGTGTGATATGGAAATAATTTGTTAACTAAAATTTTGTGGTGACTAAAAATTAAAATAAACAATATTTTTAGTGTATATTTTAATAGAGATGAAGAAATCACAATCTTTAAGAAGTTTTCTCTTTTTCTTATAATTATTAAGTTTTCTTCATTTGGAATTTGCAGTTATATTAATAACATTTTTAAGCAACAAAATATTTATATAACCTAAATTATAATTTTCGGTAAGAAAAAAACATGATTATAAGTATATATTATTATATAAAACTTAGTTAAAAAATAAAGACTATTATTAAATAATTATTTATATGAAAATATTTTTTTTCTTTTACAATTTTTTTGTATAAAATTTGTTAATTTACACGATTGAGACACATGGAAAGTAGAAAATAAATAAACATACAATCTTATTGTATAAAATAATATGGCAATTATAATCTTATTACAATCTTTTTAAAAAACATAATTTGATAATAATTTTCCTTTTTAAAATCTTTAAGAAAACATTGTAAAAGTGTGTTTAATGATAATTTTCCTTTATTCAAATCCTCAGCAAAATAAACTTTGTAAATTTTCCTGTTTAATTAGTTAATTTTCCTTAAGATAAGATGTAAATTATAATATCATCATAGTAATTATCCTTTTAAAATTGTGACATGTGTTAAGTTATTCCATGATTATAATTTACTTTTTTTTTTTAAATTGGAACATGTTTTAAAATATACCATATTTAAGATATATAAGAAAATTTAATATTAAAAACGAATTTTGTTGTAAATTTAAAATTCTTTAGTAATTTATTTTCTTGATTATTTCGCTTTTAAAATTTTTAAAAAGGATAAGAATTTCTTTTCCGACTCTCTTTTGTTTAATACCTTTTAGTAATTTATTTTCTAAATTATTCTGTTTCTAGGTTATTTCGTTTTTAAAAACTATAACAAAACTGATAAGAAAATACTATTAAGTATATTATTAAGAAAAAATAATGTGTAAATATTTTAATTTATAAAGAAATTATCTTATAATAATATTTTTTATTTGACTTATCATAAATCAACATTTCAAAAAATAAAAACTATTATAATTGTCATATGTCGTGATCATGTTAATTAGTAAATTTAAAAAACTAAACTTTATATAATAAGATATGATAACAAAATAAAATTTTAGTATAAGTATTCATCAAACTTACCTATATGAATATTTCAATTTTTTTCCACGCGTTTCTTCTCACATAAAGCAATAACACCTTTCTTTTAGCAATACGCATTGATTTTCTTATAATGCCTCCTTGACAACTCATAAATTCCATCAATACAAGTTAAAGAATCATAAAATATTGCAGATGACAACTGTGTCCATAACGACACAACTATTTTGTCACATCTATCACAAACAACCTTAATTAGGGGTTAACAATAAATGAGACCTTGACATCTTTCTTATTACTTGTAGATGTGTATTTTGTAACCTCCAATATTTTTTATAACATTTTTTACATTATAGAGTTTGTTGCTAGCTGAACTTATTGTATATACAAACTGTACTCTACAACCAAGGACATACATGACACGAAATATTTAATTTCTATAGCATATTTTCAATTTAAGAGTACAAGAAAATATTATTTGTTCATAATTGAGAGAATATTATTTGTTCAGAATTGAGAGAATACAAGAAAAAGACAAAAGAGAGTAAGGAAACTATTCTTATGATAACAATTTATGTATTTTTTTGTTTCTCTTGAGTTTATATATATAACATTGTACTATCTCCATCTAATTAACAAGCAGAGCCAGCTTCCACCAGCTTGTTGAGTTTACTGTTTCTCAACCTCTCTTCATAAACTTCACTTCCTTGCATCTCTTTCTCATACCTGAATCATTTCTTATATTTAGACTAAGTAGAAATCCAAGAGACAAATGATTATTTCCAAGTCCTAGCATATTATATATCTTGCATTCAGGGTCCTCTACTAGTTCGAGTAATTAGCTAGTGCATTTACATAAGATCCATAATAATTAAATAGTGTTGTTTCGTAGAAAACTATGTACCTTGGTGGCATAGGAATTAAAGGAGATAGAATATCCACAAGCTTGAGAGCTTCTTCTTCGGTATTCACAATTTGGTTGAAGCAAAAATATCTACCACAAGCAGAACTATCCTCAAAAACTCGAATGTGGACGTCAGCTACAAACTCCACGTCTACGTAGGCTAACACACCGTTCTCATACATCTGCGCAGCGCCTGCAAATTGCATTTCCACCAAAAGAGTATCAATACATCTAATTGCATGAATGAATATATGTTTTTCTTATATTTTGAATGTGTGTGTTTTATATACCTTTGAGGAAAGACATGGTGGGTCTAGGGTTGTGTTGAGTCACTGAGGGTCCAACGATGAGCCCTGGGTTAACTGAGACCATGTTGACCATACGGTCCATGGCTAATGCCCAAGCAGCCTTCTCAGATTGTGTCTTGGCCAGAGCATGCCATAGCTGAACATAAACACAATTTTTAGAGGAACTTTATTGTGTATTCGTGATAAAAAATAATAATTTGAATGCTAATTAAGTACTATTATAAAATGATGATCTTGTTAATAAATTTGACCTCTTTAATTAATAGTCAGTCTTTCATTGAGTTGAATCTTGACCAAAATTACTCTAGAAACACAACATTTCATGAAGACCCAACTTTAAATTTATTGTTAATCAAACTACTCAAACTCCCATATTACCCAACTACTTATATATAAAAAGGTCTAAAGATGCGACTAGTATGATTAGCGACCCATAATAAATAATTAAATAGACATTTCAGATTGATTGTTGATTCATGGACAAAACTATCATATCTGTAAATTGTGGGTCCAATATGTTTCAGTCTAAATCCCTTGAACTTTTCAATATACTTAAAATTATTAATTAAATGAGTTCAAATGGAAAAAACGTTGACAGAAGGAAAAGAACTAAAATGAAAAATATAATTAAATAATTAAATAAATAAATTAAAAGTACCTTTTTCTTGAGACAAAAGTCTAGATCACTCCAAGACTTCTCATCAACATCTTTTTGAGTGCCAATGTTATCTCTCCAAATTGCAGCAGTTAGTGAAGAAGAGAAGACAATCTTGTCTATACTCTCTGTTCTTGCACATGCTTCCACCACATTAATCGCTCCTCTCACCTCTAAATCAACTTCCTTCTCCTAAATAATCACACCATTTAATAACCAAATCTCAATTTACACAAATAAGAAGAAAAAAAAAGATTTCAAACAAGTGTTGGGTGCTAAGAGTACAAAACTCACATCGTACCCTTCAGGATTGTCCAAGCAACAGAACACAGCATTACAGTTGCTCAGAGAAACAAGGATGCTCTGGTAATCCAACACATCCACATCGTAAACCACTAATCTCTCCTCCGTAGCTTGCATGTTCCGGATATTCTCCTCAAGCATACTCTCCCCTGTTACCAAACCAATCACTCGATTAAACGTTAAACAAAAAGATCAGGAGAAGAAGAAACAAAGAACTTTGCCACGAGATTTAATTGAAGAACTTGAAGATTTTTACCGTTTTTGCGGATGGCTGCACGAACAGAGTAGCCTCTAGTGAGCAGTTTCTTGAGAATCCAGAAACCCACATAAGTGGAAGCATCAAGAACACAGCAACAAGACGTGGATTTCTCTTGATTCATCACTTTGTTCTGATTTATTTTTTATTTCTGTTTTTTTTTTTTTAAGGGAGAAAGAGATGATTAAATCTGTCTTTATAGATGAGGAGAGACGTGTGGGAAAGAGAGGTGGAAGGAGAATGAAAGTAGTAAATAGGAGAAAGGTGGGTGAGCTATTAGATGTTGCCGGCTCCCCCAGCTACCACCTTCAGTTTTTTTACTATGGATTATGTTTTTCTATATACAGTAAAAAACTCCATATTACTAATATTAAAAAAAATATTATATTAATTTATAAAAAAACTTTTTAAAAAATATTTTAAATTTTTTTTTTCTAAAGTAAAAATTAATTTTAGTGTATATACATTATAATTGAAATACTTTAGACTATAATTTTTTAAGTTGCTCAAAAAAGACTTGAATTTTCATCACTATGTGATCTCCATCATTAAATAATGATACGTATATATACTTGCTCAATATGAACCTTGAATTAATAAACTCATATTCGAAAATGCTCGAAAAACTATATCAAATCAATTTAGTTGAATATAAAAACATTAAAGACAAAAAAAACTTTCATGTGAGAAATTAATAAAATACTAAATACTGAAGATCATATTTCTTGAGTAGCTTTGTTTTATATAATTAAATAAACCCACATTCAAATTAAAATATTATATGTTTTAGACATCTATTGGAATATTAAGTCTAAAGTCTTTCAATCTAAAATTTGAAGTGATTTGATTGTTAATAAGTTTTAGATGATTTAGGTAAATTTAAGAATTTGTGAAATTTTGTTATATCACTCTAGAATCTTATCTAAAATCATGAAATTTGTTTTTTTTTTTTTTATAACTAAGAAACCCTTATCAAATATTCTAAGAATACTTGTAGCGTTTTAGAAACACTTAAAACACTCTAGAAACACTTAACGCACTCTAGAATCTACAACTTAATTTTTTTTTAATAACTGCGAAATTCATAATACTTATGAAATGACAAATTCAATAACACTAAATTTTAAATCATATTTTAAAATTTACTTTTTGAATAACAGTAGATTTATCATTTGAATACAAATTAATTTAAACTTCTAGTTGCTCCTCCCTAATAATAATGATGCTCTAAATGTCTTGATTTTAGTGATTATCTCCCCTATTTTACTTTGAATAACAGTAGATTTATCATTTGAATACAAATCAATTTAAACTTCTAGTTGCTCCTCCCTAGTAATAATGATGGTCTCAATGTCTTGATTTTTGTGATTATCTTCCCTATTCTAATTGTAGTCAACTATCTTCTTGATTTATTTTAACAAATAATCATGATCATAGGTAGTATATTTTACAAAAAGTTTCCTTTCTTAGATTTTTTTCTATTTGATTTTAGTTTATAAAAATTTATCAACCTTTTGAAATTATACATTTTTATTAGTTTTATTATATTATTTGGTTTATAGAAAATACATTTAATATAATTTAAATTTGGATATAATTACTAAATCACATTAAAATATATAAAATGATAGTAAAATATAAAGATAAACTCATTGTCAATATAAAACTAACAACATAATAGTTGGTTTGTACAATATAAAATGTATATACATAAAAATTATTAATTTATAACTTTAATGGGACTATATATTTACAATAAAACTAGGTGATTTTCCCGTGCTCATGCACGGGTCTCAATTTTCATGAATATTCATGAAAGTAAAATTTTATAATAATTGATTGATATTTAGTTTGAGTTTTGAATCAATTTATATGTCTAATTTATATTAATAAATAGTATATTATTCTAATTATACATATGCCTTTGGATATATTATCGTCGGTTTAATTATTTTTCGGATCGATAGTCGGTTTGGTTATCAATTCGGTATATTCGATAATATCTATTTTTCGAATTCAGCTATAATTTTTTTATTCTAAATATAATAAAAATTTGATTAATTTTTTATTTTCCTTTTGGTTGGTTATTTTCTTTAGATATGTAAACATATTCTTAGATATGTAAATATATTTAGTTAAATTATGTATAACTTAATATATGTTGTGCTTAAAATGAAATACATAATAAGCTGAAGTGTTTGATTCAAAATTAAATAAATGAATATAATGATAATATTTTGAAGTCTCATGCATATATATAAATTCTAAAAGAATTAATTTGTAATTAATTAATATTTATTTTTCTTTTTAATATGCTTTGAGTCAGTCTCTAATTTATATGTAGAGAATTAAATAAATTATTATTTTTATTATTATTATTATTATTACAAAATTATATTTTCTTATTGTAGTTAGATGTTTAATTGTGGATATAAATTATATTAGTCGAGTCATTCATTTTGTGAGTATATAGAGTTAATATATTTTTAAATTAAAATTGAAGTATAATTCTTTTTATTTTAGTTAAGTCAAATCAAATTAGTTTATTTATCGCTTAAATATACATGTATTTTCATAATATTTATTTACTCTTTTTTTTAGTTAAGTCAAATCAAATTATTTTTATTTATCGCTTAAATATACATGTAGTTTTATAATATTTATCAAATTATATGTTTATTTCTAAAAAATATTAGAAAATAATGTGTAACTGATAAATTTTTTGATGTTCATGAACATATATATTTTTATTATTTTGAAAATATATTTTATGTTATTTAAAAATATATATTAATGGAGATATTACTATTTTGTAAACTTTCCTTTTTAATAAATTCATATTATATACATATATTTTCGTTTTTAAATTTGTCTTAAAATTTTAGAAATGTTTCTTAAAACTGAAGTATAATTACTTTTTATTTTAGTTAAGTCAAATCAAATTATTTTTATTTATCGCTTAAATATACATGTAGTTTCATAATATTTATCAAATTATATGTTGATTTCTAAAAAATATTAGAAAATAAAGTGTAACTGATAAATTTTTTGATGTTCATGAACATATATATTTTTATTATTTTGAAAATATATTTTATGTTATTTAAAAATATATATTAATGGAGATATTACTATTTTGTGAACTTTCCTTTTTAATAAATTCATATTATATACATATATTTTCGTTTTTAAATTTGTCTTAAAATTTTAGAAATNTTTTAGTTAAGTCAAATCAAATTAGTTTTATTTATCGCTTAAATATACATGTATTTTCATAATATTTATCAAATTATAAGTTGATTTCTAAAAATATTAGAAAATAAAGTATAACTGACATACTTTTTGATGTTCATGAACATATATATTTTTATTATTTTGAAAATATATTTTATGTAATTTAAAAATATATATTAATGGGGGTGTTACTATTTTGTGAACTTTCCTTTTTAATAAAATCATATTATATACATATTTTTCGTTTTCTATTTTTTAAAAAAAATTTAGAAATATTTCTTTTTTTATTATATATGTTATTTGGAAAAAGTTAAAAAAAAACTAAATAAAAATAATAATCTTAAAATCTAACAATTCATTAAGGGTATCTATGTAATCAACCATCGCGAAAGTTAACGTGATCGCGACACGTAGGAAACTGACTTCTCAAATAATATTATAGAGATTTTCTAAAAAATATTGTATTATTTTATCGATTTGTATCAAATTTTGATTGAATAAATTTATTTATTTATGGTGTTTATTAATTTATCAATTATTAATTAATAAAGTTTTTAATATACCGAAAAAACTCTATAAATTAATTTACAGACAATGATTTATGTAGTGGACTACTACCACAATCCCAATCTAAATTAAGAAAATAAAAAGAATGAAAAAGAAAAAGAAACAGTTAAAATGAAAAACTTCTAGAGTTACTCGAATGACTTTCAAAACTCAAAAGACTCTCCCAAAATGACAAAGACAAAAACCCAACAATTCAAAAGACTCACGGACTCAGCAATCTTCAAGAAGACAAAGATTCATGATCATTGATCAGGAAGAGCAATGAGACAGGATGGAGACAAGACTCACAAGAAAATTTTCTTCCATGTGAAGTGAATGATCGATAAAGCAAAAATTACTCAACACATGCATCACTCCTTGACTGCTCAAGACACGTAGATCGAGAGTTCTCATGCACGACTAAGAGAATCAACAACTATAGGAAGCTAGCAGAAGGGGTAATAATTTAGTAGCTCATTTTCATCACACAATTGTTTCAGTGTCTTGAATTACATATTTCGATTGTTGATTTATATCACAGTTAATAATTATTACTCAAGAAACAAACCTTTCAATGAATTTTGGGAAATATCATTTTATATAGATATTTTTCGGTGAATCTTATAGAGTTTTGTATCACTTTTAACATATTAAATGTCAAGTGAATCAGTCATAAGTAGGGGTGGGCACAGATCGGATATCCGGGTTTTTTAAGGTATTTGTGATTTGCTTCGAATGTTACGGATATCTAATTTTGGTATTTGCTTTGCTTCGAAAAAATACGGATATCCGGAAAAACGGATATCCGGAAAATAAATAGATATTTGCGGATATTTACGAATATTTACGGATATCTCATCCATTTTGATTAATACAAATAATCTTAAGATNTTTTTTGCATGATATATAAAATAAAACTTAAAAGAACTAGTGAATTTATATATTTTGTAATTTTTTTAAGCTTAAGTTACAATTATAATAACACAAAATTTAAGAAAAAAATATAATTGTCATAATTTTCTCTCTTTCTTTTTATGTAATACTTTTATATAAGTAATAATTTGATTAGAATTGTTCAAAATCATATGCTAGAATAATAATTATATAATTTTATATATTTAAAATGTTAAATATAATCAAGATATACATATATTTATATATTTACGGATCGGATCGGATATCCGCTTCCCAAAATTTTACTATTTGTGATTTGCTTCGATTTTAACGGATATTGAATTTTAGTATTTGCTTTGATTCGAAAGTTTACGGATATCCGGAATTTTCGGATCGAATCGAAACGAATAACGAATCGAATCAAATATAACAGATAAAATGCCCAGCCCT